GCTCCTCTCACCTCTTCGTCCTCACTCCTCACTCCTTCTCCTTGGCTGCTATTGGCCGGATGCCTGTCAATCAAACCCAGGTCCTCCAGCTGGGACAGGTCAAGGGCTGGGATTGGCTGTCTCCAGAACAGGAAGGAGTCGTACTGGCTGTTCGACATCTCCATCATGGTTCAGTCTGAGATAAAAACAGAGGAGAACAGGGTGTTTCTGAGGCACGTTTGGTTTTTCTGTTCAGATCTGACAGAAACAAACATGAGCTGTGGACCCTACTGACCCCAACATGCCCACATGTGACCCTGAGCTCCAGAGAACAACCAGTTTCTACGCTGATCCGAGCCTGAGCAGGTTTCCTGAGTTGGCTTGTGACCAGCTGACTGCAGAAGCAGCTGGTGAAGCATCGGCTCAGGCCACGTTTCTGGATCGATGGAGGAGCAGGATAAAGGGATGAAAACACCAACCTGTCTCTGAGCTCCGTGTCTGTTGACATTCATTTGACAGAAGGTTCACATGACGAATCTGTCTGATCTTAAAAATGCACCCCAGGTGAACAAAACACTGGACTGCACAAGACCCGGATATGACACCTGATTACACCCCTGCATGTCCACACTGGAGTTAGATGAAGCTCCAGTGTCTCCTGCAGACACCTGCTGAGAAATGGCTCTGTCTCCTATGGAGTCTGGCTCGGTGCTGTGCAGGCAGTGAGCTGCATTCACCTTCAGTCTGTCTCTCACTGTGGCCCCGTGAAGCCTCTTCAGACCTGAAGCTGCTTCAGTTCAGCTGAAACCTTGTGTTGCTTTGATTCAGTCTCTGCTGCTGCTACTGCTACAGGCCGTTGACACAGCAGACTGGACTGAAGGACATGACCAGCCTGTTGCACACAGCTCAGACCTGGCTTAGGCTGAAGGACAGTCACTTTTCACACTGAGACACTCAGTCAGTTTAAACACATGGTCACAGTCAGTCATCAGACTGGAGTCAGAGCTGTTCTGGAGCAGAAACATGATGTCCAACAGAGGAAGACTGATGTAACCCCAGAGTCTCCACACACCCTCCTGCTGCTGTGTGAAACTCCTGTAAACACAGTGGCACTGTAAAATACAGTGCATGTCAGTGCTCCTCCATCACATCACATCTACTGGTCACATGGTTCCTGAGGGGCGGAAACACGAACTGGTCAACGCGTCTCAGGGGACTGACGTAAAGCTCAGCAGTTCACAGCCTCATACTGATCAGCTCGCCTGCACCAAACCACATTTACGATCTCACCCATTTGATATCGGACGCTTTCACTGTCATATATTTAGCTCGAGGCATTGGCCCAACTCTGCAAATACCGTCAACAACAAAACGGCGTTGTCACCGCCACTGATACCTCTGATTCCCAGCCTACAGACGGGAGGTTGAACAGCTGGTCCTGTGGTGTAGTCGCAACAACCTGGAGCTAAACACGCTCAAAACAGTGGAGATGACAGCGGACTTCAGGAAGAGCCCCCCACCTTACCTCACGGGTCAAAAGGAGGGCGGAGAGGATCACTGCAGACCCCTCACGCCCCGGACACAATGTTTGAACTCGTCCCCTCTAAACGGCGTTACAGGTCACTGTGCACCAAGACAACCAGGCACAAGGACAGTTTCTCCCCCCAGGCTGTCACTGATGAGCACTTAACCAACGACGGTATGACTGGACAATAACCCTCAGTGCAATATCTGTAAATGTACATATCGATCCGTCAAATCCAGACCGTGTGTGTATATATTTAAATATAGGTCTCTTTTTATAAGTGCTTTACTCTGATTTTTTAAAATCTCTTTTCCTAATGCAATTCCCTTGCTTGTTGACATGTATGTACACATTGAGAGCCACTGTACCAGAGTCAAATTCCTTGTGAGTGCGACACACCTGGCCAAACAAGTTAATCCTGATTCTGATACCGGTTATTGATTACAGGTGATCACTGAAACCCAGAGATGAGTCAGGATGTATCAGAGGCGTTGCCCCGGCGTTCGGGTTCATAGAAAAAGGATTCAACCGAGTAAAACACGTTCACACGATGAACTACTGATATCTATCAAGACATTTGCCACAAATAATAATATTGCCACACTGATTTTGCTGTACTTGATTTTTAAAGGGTTGAATTTCCGCAGGCCCCGACATCACCGAATTTTAGACAGAAATTCACATTTATAATTAAACAGAGAAATGCGGAGGAGGTTTTACCTGTTTGTTTCCGGTGTGAAATAAAAGTATTTCTGTGATTTATCTTTGTTGTACTGGATTTGCAACAGTGGGGGTGCAGACAGTGCTCCGCTGCTGCAGCTGGAATGAGCTCTGTTCCTGCGTCAAGCTCACGTGACTAGACAAGAACACCTCCTTTTATGGATTTCAAAATAAAAGTCAAAGGGGTTTATACAATAGAAGAAATACAGTATCTCTACACAAAGTTCGGAAGTAAACATTTACTCAATGATCTACATATAAAATGCATTATTCTTAATCATATATATGAGCATATAAACATGAGAACAATAATAAAATACAAAGTTTATGGCAATAAAGATATAAAACATCATTAGGTCAAAATAGGTCAAAGTGTTTATTTGTCATATGCACACTTAGGAAACGTGTTTCCCTGTACAATGAAATTCTTACTTTGCCGTCCACATGAATACCACACAATACAAGTGAAATATAAAGTAGATAAATAAGTAACATAAAATCTAAGGCAATTTAAGCAGCAAATGCAGCAATATAATAAAAATATATAAGAATATAATAGAGAATGTATGCTGCATGGGAGCAGCATGTGCAGCAGTCAACAGTCAATGTTCAATTATGCATGTGCAAACTGAGAATGTAAACAGTACAACATGTATTTCCTGGTAATAAACTCCTCAGCTGTTTAGGAGTCTGATGACAGAGGGAAAGAAAGAGTTTTTCAGTCTAGTGGTCCTGCATTTCACACTTCTGAACCTCCGGCCAGAGGGCAAAGAAGTGAACAGTCCGTGCTGGGGGTGGGTGGGATCTTTGAGGATGGAGGCAGCCTTCCTACGCACCCTGCAGTGGTAAATGCTCTGCAGAGAGGGCAGTGGAGTCCTGGTGATCTTCTCCACAGTCTTTACCACTCTCTGCAGGTGCTTGTGGTCCATAGCAGTAGTGCTGC